GCAAGACTTGTGAAATGTAACTACACATAAGCTATTCAAAATTTGCTACTGTCTATGGCCTTTTTTCTTTATGGTATGGGAGAAAATAATGAAGAAATATGAATATTTGAAGAAAATCATATTTCAAAATGAAGAGAAAAAATCCTTTCCATTTCTACTAACATCCTAGACCAGGTCCTCACCAATGTTGTCTCTACTACTACAAAAGTTTCTACCAATTAGATTGGTTTTTCTTTTTGTTTTTGGCCTCCTTTCCTTCTAATTTGTCTTGCATGCCATTGTCAGATTCATCTTATTAAACCATTATTTTCACCAGGATACACTGTCTCTCTACTGTCTATCAAATCAATTCCATTGCCCCTCAGTCCTTATTGGACTTAAAACCCATAATATAGCTCTGTGTTACCTTCCAATTCTCAAAGGAAATGTTCTGTCCATTACTTTGTTTTTCCATAGCCTCCTCCATTTGTATACCCAACCTGAATATGCCTACTTTTCTAATATTACTCACCCAATCTTTGCTATCACAACAAGTGTTGCTACAAATATTTTGATGTATATGGGGACTTCTTTCTTATCAACAGCCTTCTTAGTAATAGAGTCTCTGAGTCAAAAGCTGTGAACATTGTAGTTACTTTATTTACATAATACAAATTGCTTTCCAAAATGGTTACACTGATTCATAGCTCCATCCACAATACACTAATGTATTTCTCCTTCCGTAACTCCTCCAACATTAATTATTGCTGTCATTTGCCTTTTTTCCCCTCCCTTTTGCACACTTTGAGGTGAAACCTTTGAGTTGTTTTGAATTACAAGTCATTTGGAGGAATCTTTTATACGGTTTTTAAAAGTTTGCATTTTTTCTTTAGAGAACTGTTTGTTCATATCCATTAATTATTTATCTATTGGGGAATCTATTGGGCTTTGTCATATATATATGTTACTGTATCTGTTAGCTACCTTTATATCTTGTATGTCAAACCTTTATTGGAGGATTTTTATATGGAAAATTTCCCCCTTATTTGGTCACTTTCCTTTAGATGATCTCCAAATCCCATAGTTCTCTCAGTCCCATCTCCCTTAAGAAACTTTTCCCTGCTATTCCAGTTCAAATTGTTGGGCCTGTGATTGACATGTACTTTTCAGGAAGAGTAATGTTTATTTCATTATTGTTTTCAGAGCTAAAGCTAGACAATTAGATATGGTAATGAGGAGAGTATTTATGCTGGGGCCCAATAACATGGAGAAAATGATAAAAGGCAATATTGGTCCTGAGACTAGACAGGATAGGTTGAATGCTCACCAATCAGAGCCCAGGGTCACAGAGGAGGTAGCTTGAATCCAAGCTAGAAGTAGAGGCTAGAGAGCAGTTGGAATGACATGGAGATAGCTGGGAAATGGCCATTTCATTAATGTAGGGAACCTTTGGTGAGGAAACTCCCTTTACCAGTAATAACTGTTCTTCAATTTATAGTCTCTGAAAGTTGCCTGTCCCACTGAGGGGTAAGGCTCTTTGCTTAGTGCCAGAAAGTCAGTGTCTGCAATAATAAAGTAAATGGAAAGAAGAAATGCCACAGCCATCACAAACAAATGTTAATTATAGAGAACAAGCGTGGTCCTATGGAAGAGATATGAGAAGATACTTCCCCTTCTTTCTTTTCAGAGGTGGGGCGGGGGGGAGTGTCCATGGGTGTCTGTTGGCATTCTTTGTGCTGTTTCTTCTGCATACCTCTTCATAGGTAATGTACTATGGTTTACCCATGCCTACCAGGTACTCCATTTGCCTTTGGGAGACCCACAATTTGAATTCTTCAGCCATACAGTCTCACCATGAGAATGTTCATATTTAAAAAATTCATCATTATTCCTGGATGAAGCTTGGAGTCATGAACACATTACAGTTTTCTAAATGCATTTCTTCTTACAGTTTCTACCTATTTTTTTTAACCATCTAACTCCTGTTGAGTTCTCAGCCCATTTCTTTGTCTTTCCTCTGTATTTGTCCAAGATATATATGCTGATGGACCAACTCTGTTGTTTTCTGTCTAATTGTATAGCAATGCCTAGATACTAGGCATTCTTCACCCACTTGTTTTTTCCTTGGTGGATGGTTAGACTAAACTCTTTTTTTTATAATTGTACATCTCAGGTAGGAGGTTCTATACATTTTCAGAGCTTGATGGAATCAGCATGCCATCATAGAAGAAGGAGGGGGATCTAGAGGATCCTACTGTGTATAGGATGTCTGGACTCGATGTCCACCATAACTATGCCAGACATCTTCAGAGACTTCCATCTTCCTGGTTTGTGCCTTGTTTGATGTTAATAATAAAATAGTCACCAAATAAAGTTATCTCTGTTGTATCTTTAGAGGAATTTTGTATGAATTTGCCATATATAAGAAGGAAAGCCTTGGCAGCAGTGTTGTATTCTATCAGATCAAATACAGTTTTATAATTAACAGTAACACAGTAGAATCTAATATCCTCTGCTATAGAATATTATCTGAGTTCCGTACTTAGACTTTATTAAAAATGCCCTTGGTGCATGTCTATATTCTTCTTTTAAAATTTTGTAGAGAGAGAAAAACAGGCATATGAAGTATCAGTTAGTGATTTTTCTCTGATGCCTTTTGAAGAATAATAAAATCTGAAATGTTTTCAAATGTTTCATCTTCTCATATATCTTGTGAAACAATCTTTTGTTCCCTCAAAAGTATGTCACTTTCAGCATGGACATCCTCTGTTTGTATTTGGTCTGGCCCAGCTGATCTTCCTCTTTTTGTTTTCTTTAATGACCCTTCTACTTTCTCATGCAGGACAACAGGGGCAGAGATATTAGAATGGCAGCCCTACCAGTAATGTTGGAGAAAATGATGTGTTTTAGAAATACTGACAGATCATATCCATCTTTCATCTGTTGTCTTTATTCTAGTTTCATCCTTAAATACCCTTGGGTTTATTTGACTTACTCCAGTCTCTGTCCAAGCTTTCTGAAAACTTTTTTCCTTTCACCCTTTTTTTTTATGAGGTGTTACTACTCATAATCATATGGAACCCATTCCACAAACTTTTGTAAATAAGTTTATATTTTAATCTATCATTGACTTTGACTACCATCTCTTTTCATTTGACCAAAAGAGAATGTGTTTGTTTATAATTTCTAGGCTATTTCTGGTTTCCTTGTTGTGGCAGTTCATTCATGTAGTTTAGCTTTTTTAGAATGTCATGAACCTTTGATCCAATTTTTATTCATTTCTTGTTTTCAGAGACAGTTGCTTCCCTAAAAAGTGGCCAGATTAGAGCTGTTTTCATTGCATGCCTTATATTTTTGTTTTTATTCTTCTAACTTTTCCTTTTGATCTTTGCACTGTTAGCAATCTGACTTGTCCACAGCACCTGAGTCAGAAATCACTCTCACTTTACCCATCAATCATTCCCTATCATACAGCATCACAGATTCAGAGATGCAAGACACCTTATCAGGGGTGGGAAACCTGTGGCCTCGAAGCCACATGTGGCCCTTTAGGTTCTCAAGTGTGGCCCAAACTTTTTTGGATTCAGTCAAAGGACTATACTTGAGGACCTAGACGGCCACATGTGGCCTTGAGGCCACAGGTTCCCCACCCCTGCAAGAGATTTTCTAGTTCACTACCTCCCTTATTTTCAAAAGAAGATTCTCAAGTCCTGAGTAACTTGCCTCTAGTCATGCACAGCCATGATTTGAAAACAGTACTTCTCAGTACAAATCCAGTACTCTGCACTAAAATTTCTTCTTCTTTTCGTGCTCCTTCTCTTCCTCCTTCTCCTTTTCATCTTCCTTCCTCTCTCTCTCATTTTATGCTTTTCATGACCATTGCCTCCTCTCTTTGTTAAGAAAGGATTCATGACATATGAACTTAAGGCTTCTAATGGTTTAGTCCTCAAATATTCCCTTTCCTCTCTTATTGAATCATGTTTTTCAACTTTTTGGGGACCATATTGCCTTATGTCCACCTTGCATAGAATTCACCAAATATTAAGGCATGTGATGATTTAACTTGGAAGTTCTTACCTAGTTCTAAGAATTTCTCTACTTCTTCATCCTCTGCAATGGTTGGTATATGGATTGTAATTATCTTCATGTTAATCTTTTTTCAAATGCTTATCATGAATGCAGCAATTTGGGTTGACAAAATTTCTTGTAAAATAGTGGTTCTTTTTGCCATTCTCCTAGAGCTATGAGCCATCTTTTCACTTGCTGGAACTTCCTTTTTTCTACTGGCTTCATTTATAGCTAGAAGTTAGATTGATAAGACTAAGCTAGTCTTATATAGAGTGTGTTATGTTTATTCAGTTGTTGGACAAGAGCCACATATCTAAAATACTGAGAGTTAATTAATATTTATAGATAAATAGTTGAAAACTACTTTGTCTGCCATCTTTTCTTCCATTCTGTCACTGTCATTGTCACTGAAGAAGCAGAAGGGAGCCACACTGGACCAAGGACCATTTTGCAGTCTTTGTTTCATGAGTTGCCATGGCCAAAGCACGAAATCACCCTGTGACTAGACAGCTCGTGCTGAACCTCTCCACACTGGGCCTGGTTGTTCCTCAGCAAACAAATAGAGTCTGTTGTCAGGGCCGCATTCAGAGTCTCTCCAGCATGGTTAGATCTGCCATAACTTGTCCTCCATTGTCCTAGTCTTCACAAACCTATATTTACTTTTTCTCTACTGTGAGACATCAAAGGGTGGGACTATGGAAGTTTAATCATTTAAAAGAAATATTTACCAAACTGCTTTCACTCATAACTCTTATATGGGAAATCCTATATCCCTGTCATGCACTAAGCAATAGCTCCTTTTCTTTTAAATAGTCAATATGACCAGAATAAAGAATTTTTTTAAAAGCAGTGTTTTTTCCCCTCATATGTTGGATGATCAAGCTTTTCTTAATTCTTAATTTTAGATCTCTGTTTTTATTTATGAGTTTATATCCTCTGTTTTTCCCTCTTAGGATGGAAAGAAGAAATTTGACAAAGAGAGTGAGAAATACTATTCCATTCTTGACAAGCACTTAAATTTGTCAGCAAAGAAAAAGGAGTCTCATTTACAAGAGGTAAGCTTTAACTATTTGTCAGGAGAAAAGTCTCTGAAACAAATTGAGCCAGCCTTTTCTATTCATACTACCTGGACTACTGATCTTCACTGGATCTACTGTTCCTTATTTCTGAATTCTTAGAGAGGTCAAAATATTCACAGTAGGGAAAAAATCACTAATAGAACATTTACATATCCTTTTGTTAGGATATAGTTTAAGTGACAAATTAATGTAGTTTCTGCAGTGTCTCCCCAAATACATATTTACCTGCCATTGCAAAACAAGTGATTCTGTATGTCCAAAATGTAATTAAAAATCAAATTATCTTGATATAATTCAAGGTACATCCTTGTGAAGTATCTGATCTCAGCCCTGAGTCCTTTCCTGCTACTTGAGACACCATTATTGCCAGTTTCTGTATGCTTCTCTCTTCTAGCCATTTTCTCTCCTCTCTTGCCCCCTTCCATTTCTGTCTTAATTATCATAGTTGAACATCATCTTTCCTTTGCCCTCTTGGTGATGAAAGCCAGGAATCCTATCCCTTAATGAAGGAATTTTTGAAATTGAGTGCTTCTACCTCTCCTTTTTTTTTTAAAAAATAACTTCTTTCTCTCTCTTTTCCACTCATGCCTGAAAACATGAAAAAAGGTACTGGGAAGCATAAAAATTTACAAGCTTGCTTTGGAAACTCCAAAAAATAAGAAGTACTGTTCTAGTTCACTAATGAAAATTGGGAACTTTTATAGACTTTTAAAGTTTGTAATTCACTGTATGTATGTTACCTATAGCCTTGGGAAGTAGAAACTACAGGTCTTATTATCCTTAGTTCCTGAAATTTTAGTTGGGCCTAAAGGAAGCCAGGAAGTTGAGTAGTTGTAGCAGAAGAGGGAGAGTATACCAAGCACAGGGGAAAGCCAGAGAAAATGCCTGGAGCTGAGAGGTGGGGTGTTTTGTTTGTGAGACAGTTAGAAGTCCAGTGTCAATGGGTCAAAGAGTACCTGTTGGGGACTAAAGTCTTCAGTCTTCTAGAACACAAGAAAAGTAGGAGGGGGCAAGATTATGAAGGGCTTTAAATATCAAACATCATTTTGTATTTGCTCCTATAGGCAATGGGAAGGAACTGGAATTTAATGAGAGAGAAAGAGAGACAGAGAGAGACACACACACACGCATAATCAGACTTGAGTTTTAGAAAAATCACTTTATTGGCTGAGTGGAGGATGGATTATATTGAGGAGAGATCTGAGGCAGGTACTCACTAGTGGGCTGTTGCAATTATCCAGGTGTGTGATGATGAAGGCCTGCTCTAGAGTGGTGGCAGTGACCGAAGAAAGAAGGTGGCATATTTGAGAGATGTTGCAAAGGTGAAATTAACAGGCCTTGGCAACAGCTTGGGTATAGGTGGGGAGAGATAGTGAGGAATCCAGGATGACTCCTAAGTTGGGTGCCTGGGAGACTGGGAGAATGGTGTTGCCCTCTACAGTAATAGGCAAGGTAGGAGTGGGGGAAGAGTTTAAGGGAAAGAGAATGAGCTTGGTTTTGGACGTACTGATTCCAAGGGATCTATTGGCTATACAGTTCAAAAATCTCTAAAAGGCAGTTGGAGATGAGAGATTGGAGGTCTGCAGAGAGATTGGGGCTGAAATGGTATATTAGAGAATTACAGCCTAGAGATGGTAATTAAATCCATGGGAACTGATAACCAGGAGAGAGTGGTGTCCCAAAAACCTGGAGAGAAGGGATTATAACCTAGAGAGAACAGAGTATAAAGGAGGAGAGAGTGAGCAACTGTTCCAGAGGCTACAGAGAGGTTAAGGAGAATGTGGATCGGGAAAGGTCATTGTTTTTGGCAACTAAGAGATCATTAGATCATTAGTAACTTTGGAGGGAGCGGTTTCAGTGGAATGATAAGATCAGAAGCCAGATTGTAAGGGATTGAGAAGAAAGTGAATAGAGAGAGTGTGGAGGACTTTATCATACAACCATTGGGTAGACCTTGAAAATATAGGAGCTAGGTAACAACATGACACAACAGTCATCTAATATGCCATATGATATGCCAGGTAGATTAGTTGGAAAATGCTTGAGATAGATCATTTAAGAGGCTACTGAGGTAATCTGTCTATATATTGATTAGGAAATGAAACAAGATTGTGGAAATAGGCATAAAGAGGAAGGGTCCAATTCAAGATGCCTTTTTTGCAAGAGAAGAATTAATAGAGTTTTTATCCAGAACTAGCTGAATAAAGAAGTCAAGTATGGTTAACTAAAAAATAGTGATACAAACAGTGGACTTGAAAAGGAAAATTATGAGGAAGATCTGGTTTTGTGTGTGAGGGGGATGGGGGTGATTAAAATAATTTTCAACATGTTAAATAGGACATATTGGCAGAACATCTAGAAGGAAATGTCCAGTAAATAACTAAATATAGTCTGGCACTCTATATTTGAGAGATATCTGTGTAGATATTAGAGGTGAAACATATAGGAATTTGTAGGTTTATAAAGGATATGGAAGGTATCCTCAAAGAGAGGAGATATAGCAAGAAGCAGAAGATAAGCAATGGTTTTAGATGTTTAGAGAGGTCAAGGGTATTTGATTCAGTAAATAGCAAGGCACTGGAGACCTCTTAATGCTAGAGCAACTAGGTAGCACGGTAGATAGAATACTGGCCCAGGAATCAGGAGGACCTGAGTTCAAATATGACTTCAGATAGTTACTCTGTGATCCTGGGCAAGTTACTTAACCCCAATTGCCTCTCCCCTTCTCCACAAAAGGTAGATATAATAAGGGTACAAAAGTCAGAATGTCTGAGTTTGGTGAGGAAAGAGACATATATACCCTCCTCTTTCTCTATAAAATTTGTAGTAGAGAAGAGAAAGATGGGGTGATACTTGTATTTCTCTAATTGAATAAAAGTGATTTTTTAAAAAATTGGTTAGGGGAATATACTTATAGGAAGGGAATGAAGATGACAGAGAGGGAAACATTGAAGATGCAAGAAAGAGTAGGACTGATTGGGGGAGAAAAAACAGGGTGGCAGAGATCATAAGTGCTGAAGAGTGAAGTTTGACAAGGAGTAGTAGGGCCACACCTTCTTCTGACATCATAGGATCACCGTAGAAGTGTTTTAGTTGAACCCCCTCATTTTTCAGATTATTAAACTGAGGCCTAAAGGTTAAGTGACCAGCTGAAAGTGTCACACATGTAATAAGTGGTACAGCTGGGATTTGAACTCAGGCTCACTAAACCCAAATTAGTGAAGGATGTAGAGAAGTTTTGAGGTATGGTTGAGGAGAGTTAAAAGAGCTCAGGCCAAATAGCCTCAATCTCAGTAAATTAGAAACTGAGTTCACTTATTGAAAGGTGTTGGGAATTTAAGAAATGCAGGAAAAATTTAAAATAATCACTGTGGGGAATATGATGAAGAGCTTTTTGGAGATGAATAGAAGGACTCCTGTGTTGACATTTAAATTATATAAGATGGATCCCTTTGACAGTTTATGACTTTCTGTAGTAGTACTTAACAGCCTTGGTAACATAAAACAAGAAGGCAGATGCTGCTGTGTAGCCCAGATAGGAGATCAGCAAAAAACAGCCAAAAGACTTCTAGATCAGATGCAGTACACAGCACCGTCATTATCCCTAACTAGATGGCAGCCTTCTGAGTCCAGAAACCTTGTGTTTATATCCCTCACAATACCATTCTATCAGGAAAATTGCTGAAATGGTTTTTCTTGTGTAAAGAAGGGTCACACAGAAGTGTTGACTAAATTTTTTATTCTGAGATGTAAATAAACTTATTGTTCCTTATAGAATTGGGGAAGGAGTGAGGCAATTTGGAAGCACTAGTGCTAAGAATTGTGAGGAAGTGTAAGAAAGGTAGTTAAGAGTAGCCTTGGCTCAATTCATTTACAAGGAAGTCTAGAACTAATTTTCCCATTGCTCTTCTTTTCATCCTAGGGTTTTGTTTTGTTTTCTTTTGTTTTTTAAGTAAAAATCCTTAGCCTCAAAAGGAGTTATATGCTTATTTAGGGATGGAAGGAAAGAAGGAGAAGGTAGAAATCTTACTTCCTTTGTGGTTCTGAGAAAAGAACCTAACATAAATGGAAGAGACAGTGGTAAGAGAGGACAAATGCAGAATTGAGGAAAAGACAGGTATGGATTACTGGCCTGGAACTGACAAGTACTCTGATGCTGAACAGTAAGAGACACTATTTATGTGCAGTTCAGTTTAGGAGGCCCATAAGCAATTCTTTTTGATTCCCAAACCTTTGTGCCGTATAACTGGTGCTGCCATTCTGCTTTCCTGTGTACTGAGCTCTGTGCCACGGAAGGGGCTTGGACTTTGAAAGAGACATTAAAAAAACATATCTTTGGGTTTCATTGGGGAATATATTAAGTATCATAAGTAAATCTTGAATTTAGTAATTTTGTCAAATGTCAGCCTCTTCAGCTTTCAGACTTGAGGTGCGGTTGTGCAACAAGCTTTTATTTAGTATTTCTTTCAAGATTTTGACCTTTGGACCTTGCATCAGGAGAGACAGGAGTTTGAATTCTTACATTGTCACTTAAGTTGCAATGAAATTTTTTTTTCCACTCCAAAAAAATGGGATTTGTTGTAGGACTCCTCTCTCTAGGAGGAGCAGGGGGATGATAACGGGGATAACTATGATGAGGTAAAAAATAGAAGATATCAATAAAAGCTTATTTTAAAAAATCTTTATATGCTATATGAATATGAGTTATTATTTCTATTACTGCATAGCTATTATTCCCTGGGCACTAAGAATGGATACTAGCTATGTTACTGTGGACAGAAAGTAATCATTTTGAACCTCATTTTCTTTATAAAATTGGCGTAAGACCCATAGTACTTCCCTCACAGGGTTGTTGTGAAGTCCAAACGATATTATATATGCAGCATGCTTTGTAAATTTTAAAGCAATATATAATGTGTCAGTTATTAGTATTATCTAGAAAACATTATTAATTTTTGTCCTCAAGTTGCTTACATGGTTACAGCAATTAAAAAAAAAAGGAACCAGATTTAATGTATGAGCACATATGTGCTGGTGTAGTATATGACTGTATGTTTAGTTCTAAGGGGATTCAGAGTGAATTCCAGTCTGAATCTTCTGCCAAAGAGAAATTGAGCTATCCGTAAGAACTGTAGCTTCTTGGATGACCCTTGAGAGGAGTAGATGGTATATCATATTTCAGTGCTCTAGACTATAGGTGATGAAAGCTTCTGTAACTGGAAAGCGTTACAAGATTCACTACTGTTCTAAGTTATCCAAAACCTCTTTGTCTCTCCTGAGTGGGAAGTGAATTACTCAAATGATTTTCAAATACTGCCCATTTGAGCTTAAAGAATTAGTACAAGATTTCTTCAAAAACAAAATAACTAGCTCACATGTGGTTAGTAACAATGACAGTGGTGTCATGTCTGAACAAAGAGCAATATTATGTAATGTAGCATTGAAAATAACAGACAAGAGAAAATGATTCTAATATAGTATCAACTATTCACATATCACCTGTTTCCACTTTACATTTTGATAATTCAGTCTTATAAATAACTGCCTTGCTAAGGTGATCAAAAAATTATTCTGAATAGGAAAAATATTGATTTGTTTCAGTGTGTAGCTTCTGCTCCTCCATGGAATACAGCCCGTAAACCTTTTGGGGGAGGGAGATGGAAAGGTTAGAAGGGTGGTAGTGGTACTGATTTATTTTCCCTTTTATTCTCCAAATTGTTTATATGTTTGGTGCATGTATAGCATAAGGGAAAAAATTCATTTAAAAATCCTTAAGGGTATTCTATAATTCAATGCTGGAGTTTTTAATGAAGAAACTATTTTTAAAGTGTAGTCAATGGTCATTTTGATGCTCAAATCTTTATACCTAATTTTACTTTACTTTTGTTATAAAAGCATCCTAGGAAGTGACTTAGTTTTTGCTTTCTGCGTTGCTGTTGCTTAATGCTTAGACCTCAGTAGGAGATGGTGGTTTTTATCCACTTCCATTAACCTAAGTTGCTAATAACCTGTGTTAAAATTGTGTAGAGATTGAGTATGATGTTTCTCTACTAAACCAAATAGAGTCCCAGTTTCCAGAAGGACGTATGAGGATAACCAGTTTGGGGATAGAAGGAAGAGATACAGTTTAAATAAATAAGTAAAAGATAGAAAGAAAGTGGTTATCTGAAAATATTTTCCAAGCCAGTAGAATTATATAAGAAAACTCTTATTTTATCCTACAAGGAAAATGTATTGCACTTTTGGAATATGATTCATTCAGGATCCATAATCGTTCAGGATTTCAGATATAGAGCCTGCCTTTGTCCCACCTAGAAATAAGCTCTGAAATTAAGTACCATCTCTTTGTTTATTACAGTTTCACCTTCTGTCTAGTTATTTATACATATGCCTTCTTTCTCTTACCAGATATTAAGCTTTGAGGACCCTTGAGCTTCTCTCACAGAAAGAAGCAATCATTGAACTTTTATGAAGCATCTTTTATGTTATAGGTACTGTGCTAGGCACTGGGAATGTGAATACAAAAAATATAACAATCCCCATTAACAAGGAACTTACTTTCTAATGGGGGATATACAGAATAAAAATAAAGAGAAAAAGTGCAAGCTAGATAAATATCTCATAGGGAAAAAGGGTACTGGCAGTCAGAGGGATCAAGAATGGCTTCATGTAGAAGGTGATGCATTAACCTGTGTCTTGAAGAAGGAGAGACACATTATTTGAGGTAGAGGTGAGGAGGGAGTACATTACAGGCCTGGGAGACAGGTCAGTTCAAATGTACATAGATAGGAGATAAAGGATCCTGTGTGAGAAGCAGAGAGAGGCCCAGACTGGCCAGATCACAGACATATTTTGTTTTGTTTTTTCTTATTTGTTTACTCTTAGTAACAAGCAACAGTTTTTTGCATACCTTAAAGGCGTGTAATGAATTCTGATTGACTGCTTGCTATTTCCTGCATCCTTGTAGAATATGACCATTGGTGATTCTTATCCGTGTCCTTCTGTTTTCTTCCACAGGCAGATACACAAATTGACCGAGAACATCAAAATTTCTATGAGGCATCACTTGAATACGTCTTTAAAATACAGGAAGTTCAAGAAAAGAAAAAATTTGAATTTGTTGAACCGGTAAGAGCTCCAGACTTCCTTCTTTATTATAGAATCTGTATTTAAATTGAAAGTTATTATTTTTCCCAAAATGCGATCTTTGAAAATTAAAAACTCGGGGCAGCTAGGTGGCGCAGTGGATAGAGCACCGGCCCTGGAGTCAGGAGGACTTGAATTCAAATACAGCCTCAGACACTTGACACTAGCTGTGTGAGCCTAGGCAAGTCACTTAACCCCAATTGCCTCACCAAAAAAAAAGAAAAGTAAAAACTCCTTGAGGGCAGGTATAGTGTAGTTTTTCTTTTTTGACATCCCTAGTACTTGGCACATTGCCTTGCACGTAGTGGACACCAGATGAATAGTTATTAATTGAATTGAATGGAAACCAGGCTCTGTCACTTGCTACCTATGCAGCCTTAAGCAAGTTACTTAAACTCTCAGGTCTCTCTTTGATCATCTGTAAATTGAGAAGATTGGACTAAATGACCCAATGTCCCTTCCAACTTTAGATCTGTGTTCCTGTGAATTGAATTGAATAATTGTCATCTAATGTAACTTTCACAGATGGGATTTTAAATACTTAGGTGGAAGTCAGATTGCTTGTGCAATGTGTGTGTATTTGTGTTTATGGGTACACGCATATATGCATGTATATATACAGATATGCATACATGCACAAAGGATGTAACTTGTGTTGCGCGTGCACATGTGTATGTGTGTGTGTGTGTGAATTTATGAGTGTTTTGTTGTTGTTTAGTCATTTGCAATTATGTTTGACTCTTCATGACTCTATTAGGGTTTTTTGTTTTTGTTTTTGTTTCTGTTTTTTTGATGAGGCAATTGGGGTTAAGCGACTTGCCCGGGGTCACACAGCTGATAACTATCAAGTTTCTGAGGTCGGATTTGAATTCAGGTCCTCTTGACTCCAAGGCCAATGCTCTATCCACTGTGCCACCCAGCTGCACCCACCCTTACGGGTTTTCTTATCAAAGGTACTGAAGTACTTTTCCGTTTCCTTCTCCAGCTCATTTTACAGGTGTAGAAACTGAGGCCAACAGGGTTCAGGCTGGATTTGAACTCAAGTCTTCCTGACTCCAGGCCCAGCACGCTACTGTGTTACCTAGCTGCTTGCTTTTATGACTGTTAGTGGTTTTTACAACTTTCTTAGGAAGTCACTTCAGTTTCCAAGCCAATTCTAGATAAAGTGGTTATTTCTACATGTTTACTTTATGTGTAACATTTTCCTCCATATTTATAATCTTACTGTGTCTGTATAGTATATATCTATATAACATAGTTCCTACTTTGCCTTTCAGCATTCTTAAATATGGTTGTTAGAGTACAAGGAGGGTGGGAAGGAGGGAAAAATAGAGGGAGTCAGAAGGGAGAGGGGAAATTTTGTCTCATATTCAATGAGATATGTATAATATTTTTTAAATGTTACTTTCAACAGGGCAGCTAGGTGGTACAGTGAATGGAGCTCTAGCTTTGGAGTCAGGAGGACCTGAGTTCAAATCCAGCCTCAGATACTTAACACTTACTAGCTGTATGACCCTGGGCAAGTCACTTAACCCCAATCGCCTAAGCAAAAAAAAGATGTTACTTTCAGATACTTAAGTTTTATATTATGCTGTTAAATCACCCATTTTCTGAAGAAGGTGATAGAAAGCAACAGAATTGCCAGCAGGAAAGAGGGGGATAACCCCTAAATAATTAACAATTGGATATAGAGAGTAAAGTAATCTTCCTTTAAAGAAAGATCATTGTGAACAAAAATCAAGTTAAGAAAGCTAAATATGTTTGCTTCTGTTCTTTCTTAATGATAATAGTTAGATAAAAGTTTGATGAAAGACCTGTTTTTTTTATTATTGTAAGAGTAATGTGGATCAACAATATAGTATGTCAATGGGAAAAAAAAAAAGCTAATGCAATCTTGAGTTCTGTTAAGAGAGACACTGCTTCCAAACTAAGAATGACCTGATTAGACCCTTTGTGAAAATTTTTGTTCATTTCAAGTCATCACATTTTGGAAGTATGTACTGGAATTGAATGCCATTGAAGGGATTCTAGGATAATAGGTCCAAAATTCTGTGATTCTGTGACAGCTCACAAAAATACATTGATTTACAGTTTATAAAGTAACTTCTCAGTAACAGAAAAGGCAGTCTAAACATTATCCCCATTGTGCAGGTGAGGAAATTGAGATTGAGAGAGGTTAAGTGACTTGAGCTTCTGTCTGTCATCTCCTCATTAGAGCAGGAAGAATATTTCATAGAAATATGACAGTTGCCTTTCCCCTCAAAATCAGTCTATGAAATGAATATCACAGGGAAACTTGTTAGTTCTTCTCCTCCTAGCCATCTTAAAACTCTCCCTCCCTGTAGAATGTACGTGTGTGCTTTTTTTAGTCTAAGCATGCCTTTCTTGTGACTTCATAATTGAAATTGATGTTAAATTCTTTCTTTCAAAATCCTGTTCTGGCTGCTGGATTTTTCCCATTAGTGTGTCTGGCCAAAATGAAGACTTCTGGCAACTGAGTCTCGTTCTCCTTTCTAGTTTTGTAATTTCTCTGCATCCTTGGGGTTTTATACCCCATTTTCAGTAAGATGATGAAAGACATGTAAATAATACTATCTTAACCTGAAGAAAACATCTTTGTACGCAATTTAAGAACAGATAACTTAACTTGAAGAAATATAGACTACTTTACTCTATGTAGGTGATTAAAGACTATATGGATTTAAGGAAATCTTTAAGGAACAATAAATCTGAAAACATAGCATATCAGAAAAATACTATTTTTATTATCATTTATATATTACATTTTCAAGATAGTTTTGTAAGTAGAAATTTGTGTACTGATACATTGGAAAAATCTCTGATTTGTCTTAATTGACCCCAGAGCAGAGGTTCTTTTGTTTACAAGTGATAATTAATGCTAAGAAATAAAAAAATATGAATGGCACATGTACTTACATGTTGATGAGACTGTCAGTTTCAAGGGTGATATATTATGAAGAGATGCTACTTTGCATAAGAAATATGTTTTTTACTTTCAGGTAAACAACATCTGTTTCAGATAACTGTGTATTCCTTCAATTAAAACAAAGTGACAGTTCTTTCTGTTCTAATGAAGTTTTCCCCCATCCTTCCACAAATAAACTTAACAGAATAATACTGAGATAACATTGAATTTATCTAAATTTTGACTATCTTAAGAAAAAAATTGGAGTTGTAAGCATTTGGGAAAGAAAGGAAAGTTGTAGATTTAATAGAAATTTAATGAGTATTCCTTTTTTTCTCAGTATATTTTTGTTTATTTAATTAAATATTTCTCAATTACACATAATTTTTTTAAACATTCTTTTTAAAAATTTTGAATTCCACATTTTCTCCCTTCCTCCTACCTACCTTAAGAAAGCCAGCAGTTTGATTATATATGTGAGGTTAATGAGTATTCTTTAATGAATAGTCTTTAAAATCAAGTAGTTTTAAAATCAGTATTTTCATTCAGAGTTCTTAGGTTACATATTTTATTCCCTTCTTTAAAACCATGTGCACATTTGTCCTATTTATTCTTTTTAAAATATTTGTCCTATTTATTATATTTTAATGGAGCAGCAAAAAACATTCCCCAGCACCTAGTATGGTGCCAAGGCTCATAAATTTTGGTCATTTACTTTTAAATTCAGCAATTGAGTTAATATGGTCAGGGATTTTTGTAGGGGGAATGAACAAATAGAGAGCATGATCTCCTTGCCACTAATAGGTACAAAGACTTGAAGTGAAATGAATTAAAATCATCTTCTACTTCAAGCTTTCTCTATTTCTGTTTCTTGGCTTAAAGAAATTATAATGATAAAGAGGAGAAGGTCTCAGGTGACTGTGACTATAACCAGCTGTTAAATCCTTTTGATCGTGCATCCCATCAGTAAAAAAAAAAAATTATTGAGCACTTGCTACAAATGTATATTTTTATTAATTTTAGAAATTTTATATGTTTACATTTGTACTAATTTAAATAAGGTACATTTTAGAACTTACAGAAAAATGTAAATTTTAAAAGGATGGGTGAAGATCAAACATTTCATCCATGAGTCTATAGAGAACCACTAGCATTTACCAAATAGAGAATTGACATGGTCAGTCCTGTGTTTTAGGAAAACCAGGCAGTTATGTGGAAGATCTACTGGGGAGGGGAATGACTTGAGACAGGGAGAATAATTAGGAAGTAATCCAGGGGAAATTTTGATAAGGACTGAACTAGAGTGGAGGTTATGTCAGTAGAGGAGACGGGTTCAGGAGATGTTGTGGAGATAGAAATGGCTGAATAAAAGTATGGTGATGTCCTAAATAAAAAAGGGAAATTTGAAGAAGAGTGGGATTTTGGGGAAATATAATATAATTAGATCAGTGCTGCATATTGCAATCCATGCATGCTCACACATCCTTGTTACACTCTCCTTGTCTTGCCTACAATGAAAGAGGCAAACAAGGCTTTTATGCAGGTAAGGCAAAGTGAAACAATTGCAGAGCTGTCTGTCAGACGAGATGGAAGAAGATAGAATCAGGAGTACAGGAAGAGTGGTTGGCCTTGGTGGAAAGAACAACCACCACTTCATCAGAGATTGAAATAAAAGAGGAGAAAATGGCAGATCTCATGGAGGTTTGAAATGTAGGTTAAGGGCAAAGAGGGAAATCATAGCAATGGTCTTCACTTCTTAGTACAGTAGAAGTAATAACCCTCTCTTCTGACAAGGTGGGGGATGTGGTGTGTAGTGTGGGAGGCTTGAAGGGATAAAAGAGAAAGTTTGGAACCACTCCTGTGGGAAAGGATTACCTTGCTCCAGTGAGGGCCCACTTGAGATTAGATAGTTTAAATTTATATTGGACCTAACTAGTATGGTTGGATCACTTTCTCCATCACTGCTGCTACTCTTTAGCCATAGCATTCAACCTCAAATTGTTTTGATTTCATCTTTTCTTTCCTAATTCTACTGAACAGATCTTCTCAAAGATTG